ATATGGCAGTGCCTCCCCCCCGGGTCGAGAGGTCTTTCGCGTAGGTCAAAAGAGGAGTTATCGCTCACGTTTTTGATAACTGAATAGTTCTGTACAAGGAGAGTTATTACTTTCGATGTGTCGGAACTCTAGAGTAACATCTTTTGTTTCAATGGCAAAGCTCAGTTGTTTCTGTTACTTTGCGGCCACCATGTTAGACTGTAAATTTGGGTGAAACACTTTTCCGAATATAACGCGCGAATAAAAAGCTGCACAGACCTAACTCTTGACATGGTTGTTTATAGATCAATCATCTATCATATTCAAGATTCTTGACTTAATTGATTGAATGGCTACGATTTTTATTTTTTATTGCGTGACAGTGTAAACCAGCAGAATGTCGCATCCGGTCCTTGTGTTCACCGTCACGTTCGGAGCCTGCTTTACAGTCATAAACGGGAGGGAAGGCGAAAAACGCGAAAAAGAAGGGAAGGAACTCCTCTCCCTAAGCCTATTAACCCAGATTAGTATCCCTTAGGGCTGTAAATACCTTAACTCTTACAGCGAACTCTCTCGGGACGAACAAAAACATGTTTTAAGTCAGACACGTCTCTAAAACTCACATCTGTGTCATTCTTATGTAACTTGATGCCTACCGTTACTTGAGATAGACCGACACCCCTAACCCTAACCCAACAACAGGCACCTTGAAATAGTCAAAGTTTTTATGCACATTTACATTTAACAGAGCTTTCGCGCTCAATTTCGTGATATCTATATATACTTTTTTGGGGAAGAAGTACTATGAAGAAAAGAATAGAAGTTTCATAAGACATTCCTCTTGACACTTGGTGTGGTGCTGTGAATCACCAGAGCGAATTTGGACACGGAAGTGCTTGGTTCCGCAAGAGAATTTTTAAAACTCATGTGAGTAAAGAAGGTTACGCAATTGGGTTTTGCGTTATCCCCCAACGTCCCATTCGGGGGTTGGAGGGCGGGGGGTCTATTATGTCTATGAATCCAGTGCGTTCTCCTGTTCTCCTAACTGCCATAGCTGTGATACCGACATAATTCTCCTGGTTGAAAAGTGACCGACAAACTGTTTTGTAGGCATCATCTGTTTCACTCCATGCCGGTGATCAGAGTTTTTGTCCGCCAGAGAATGAGGAAGTACGGAGTGACATGACGTAAGTTCCGGTCACCTGATTTCTTATCAACACCTTCAAAGCCGCCATATTAGATGTGTAGGTCTTTCGAAGTTTTGGTTTTGTTATCACTTGGTCTTCGGGCCTGGTGCCCTTCAGGTAAGTAAATAATACAACCAGAGATGAACTAATAGTTAGAATTTTGTCGACTTATCGTTATTGTCGGGAACGACAGAGATTTGTTCCGTTGCTTGCATGCTTCCTGAGAAACGTTCGCTCGAGAAGTCCGCTCGATCCTTTTTTTTGCAATTGCTCATGTGTTTGTATAATTTTTGAAGTGCTACTATGATTTATCGCAGTGATTCTTATCGTGGTGAAATTTACCATCTTTCATTATTTATCGATGACGATAGTGCCAGCTCTCATGCTTGTGTTTGCCTTTGTAGTTTGTTTTCGTCGCTCATATTTCCATCGAAGCTAATGTATTCCCAAAGCCGTCTCTTTATGAAATGTCGCTAGTGAGAATGAATGAATAAATGGCCACTTCGCCTCTTTGTGAAAGAAAGTTAAGCTTATTCGACAGTCGAAGAAGATGAAGTTTAGTGTAACGTACAGTTCATGCACTGAAGTGTTAATATTTGTACTACATACGCGCATAAGCTTACTTCGAAACTGTTTGGTATGAGATGTAAAGATTCGTACTGCGAAAAATCTGTTTTGATTCCGGTTAAAAGTATGCGACAGACCAATTGAAGTTCAAGTTTTTTCTATCGTACTTTATTTGAAAATCATTCACTCAAACGATTGCCAGAAAGACCATTCAGCAACCGAAGCATAATCTGGGATAAAATAGTGAAATTGCGAGTCTTAGCCTGCTTCCGTCGCGATGTTTTGGAAATAACTCATAAGCTTAAGTTCACAAGACTGTTATTAGAGTTTACAAAGTAAAGAGGCTCATTTCCGAGTGTTTGAATTCATTGCAGCCTGTTCCGGTGTGATGCACATCGTGTAGTGTCACCAGAAAGTCTTCGTAGCTCTTATACTTTGTGTTTTGTGGACGAAAAGTAATTCAAGATTGAAAGAAATGAAATGTGTGTATATAAGCTTATTCATTCCTTGTTTACGCAATAGCAAAGATGTCAATGACATCACCTATTGTTATTAATATGCCACCCAGAGAACTATTGGCTGGTGAGCCAAAGAATTCTTTCGTTTAACGTTTTGAACATTTAAATCACAAAAACAATGTTTGTAAACAAATATCTTCCTTATTGTTTGAACCTATTTTGCATCATCAGAATTGGCCAAACCATGCATTGGCTGTCGATACACTTAAATCATTGATAAGATAATTTTTTTGATAAGTTATTGTTTGTTTTGACAGGGGTTGTTCTTAGCTTGCAAGTGCTAACACCGATCTGGGGGGGGGGGGGGGGGGNGAGTACCATTCTTGTGTCTTATTGGACAGTTCCGTTTGGAGCACTCGAATGCTTAGTATACATAGATTGTTATTCATTTCGGCGTTCAGGCCATTTGCGAGTTGCTTTTTAACTCCCATATAAAAATATGGGAGTGCTCATCGCACCTTTTCGGGGTTAAAAAAGTGGTTTTGGTACTTCTTAGGGTGCTCAGCCTAAAAAGGTCCACAGCGGGAGCTTTTGCAGTACCTCTTGTCCAAAAAATTATGAAAGGAGATAATGTGTTATTGTAGAATTGGTACCTCTTAGGGGTGAAAAAAATTCAAGCCTTACCCACACAGCAGGAGCTTGGTACATCTTAGGCATTCTTTTTAAAATTTCTGACCAGCACCCCTGTCCTTTTTTCATGGGAGTCCCCCCCAGGACAGTGATGTGTACAGTTGAGCATTGCTTTCTCAAATTCAAATCATTTTCCCTTGGACATGCTTTTCAGTCATTTTTGATCAGCTGTTAGTTTTTTCCCTTGACAGCTTGAGGTAGTAGAGTTCAACTGCATTCCCTGTGTTTGTTTTATTTCATCAGAGGATGGAAGCACCGAAAAAAGGGAGGCTCCTGACTTTTAAAAACAAGACATTTAAGATGTGGAGAAAGAGACGACAACGTCCAGCTCTTGATAAAAAGAGCGGAGTAAAGGAAACCCCAAATTTACAAATGCCACCCCTGTCGACATCTGAGGAGAGTGAAATGTCTAACTGTGAGACCACTGTGGATCTGCCTAAACCACAAGATGATCAAAGTATAGGCACATCTATAAAAGAACAGAGCTCAACGACTTCAGGTCAGTGGGTCAAACACAGTTTGGATTTGTCAAAAGTTTTCTCCATATTTAAATCTTAATGTGAAATGTTTTGCCAAAGAGATTAAAATTATACATTGAGAATCAATGATCGTCAATAATGGGAAATATTGAGACCCATTACAAAGGTTTTGGTTAATAGACTTGAAACCTTTTTTTGGAGGGTTTTTTATAATAATATTATAATTATTGGTAAGCATTAAAGGTTGTAAAATTGAAGCTCTGAAGCTTGGTGGCAATATATTGGACACAGTGCGGGATTGATCAGCTTTCAAGATGATCCTGAAAAAATATGGTGCAGGAGTGAGGGGAGGTATAAGTACTATTTCCCAGCCCAAATTTCACCCAAGTCCAAGTTCTGTTCTCAATTTTTGGTGCCATAGTACCAGGCTCCTCTTTAAATTGAGACTGAGTGGTTCTTCATAGTAATTATAAACCAGAATGGGATTGTTCATTAGTTTATTGGAAAAAAAGCTAGCAGTGAGCTTTGAATTCACTTTGAAAATAAGCACAAGGTTTGAGCAAAATAAAGCGAAAGTCAACGGGTGAAAAGAAAGTAAATGAACAAGAAATGACAAGCAATCCTCTTCACTTTTTAAAAAGTGTTGAACTGACTCCTTTATTTTATTGTGTTTTGAAATCTGTAGATATAACATGTGTGGATATAACTTCTGTCTATATGACCTCAGCAGACAGCGAGAAAAGACTCAAGGATATGTCCAGTGAAGGACAAAAACAACTGGTTGTTTGTTTACAACCTAATGACGTCCTTGGAAATGACTATAGAAGATTGGCTGATAAATTGGGATATAGGAATGATTATATCAAGTATCTAGGAAGTACAGATGAACCAGTAAAAACATTAATTAAGGAAAAAGGAGACATGAAAATTCTGGAGTTGATTCCACTGTTAGAAGATATGGGGAGAAACGATGTGGTGGAAGAACTTCAGAAAAGTTTAAGTAGGTTGCCCTCATTGTTTTGTTTTCTGTGTTTGACAAACTGTTATCTTTATAACATTTTTATTGCATTACTTGTTTCTTTAACTACATTCAAGGCTGTGCTCTAGCAGCGCCTGGTCGCCTGAGGTGACTGGCCTCCATCCTCGGGCAACAAGAAAAACATACATAGTCACCTGGCTGGGCAACCTCCTTTTTGAGATTTAAACTTAGAGATGAAAACAATCTCACAATAATTTGTCTTTCCCTTTTTGATTTCTTGTGTTGTATTGAAGTTTACAAGACAAAATGGCTCAATTCAGAGTGTTTAAATTCATCTGTGAGGTCAGAACATAGGTCATTCAATGGCTCAGTTCGATGCGTGGGTTTAACACTGGTCTGCAGTGATATGGACAGCAGTTTACTTGTGTACTTGGTATAGCATCAACAAAAAGTCTTCTTAGTTTTTGTGGATTGCATAATGTGCATTAAAAGTCCCTAATAGAAGGAGAATGTGAACTAAATTATTAGAAGCATAGAGGGAAAAGAAGGAAAAAGGAGTTAATTTGTCTTCATATATCAACCATTTTAACTCAAAAAAATGTGTAAATTTTATCTTTCTTTGTGGACTTCTGACAACAGTATTACAAAAAATTACATGTGAACCTTTTATTTTTGGCATCTGTAAATGGGATAAATGCCCTAGAAATAATTCGACATTTTTGTTTGAGGGTCAATCGGTTATCATATATTAATTAATAATGTTATTAGATCATTATAATTAATTAATTAATTAATCAATTAATTAATTTTGTTTTGTTTTGTTCGGGCCACCAATCTTGACTTCTGGGCACCCTAGCCTACAAGGTTGGGTGCCTGAAGAGCTCCTTAGAGTTTTTCTTAGAGCATAGCCTTTACACTTATTATAATGACTGGATTTCAGCACTCTCCTTCCACTAAGTGCCCCCTTTCTAGTAAGTGCTCCTCATTGAGTGTCATTTTTTAACAATAAGTGGCCCCTTCCAATGAGCACCCCATAGCAAAAGCAACATTCATGACATGGATGTAGAATAGACTGATTAGATTATCAAGTCTGCTCAGAGCCATTTGCAATTATTGTTATAGTTCTTTGGTTGAAGTACATCTGTTGTCTTCTTTTAAGGCTTGTATCTCATTCATATGCATATTTTCAACGAGATAATTTTCAAGATAAGATTCCTAATAAACACCCCTTCTCAAATAAGCATTCTCCTGTGAAGCATTAAAGGTAAAGAGCAGTAAGTTCCCGAGCTTACAAGCCACAAAACTGGTATTGAATGTGTTCATGTGATTTCATCAAATTCTCAAATCCAAAACTAAAGAGCCACTAAAGGTTTTATCCTCGTCAGGCATAAGAGGTACTAAATTCATATCTGTTTACAATTTTCCAGCTCAGTAGCGTCCTTCGTTTGGAAACCAGCGCATTTTGAATTTCGGAGTTATGGCATTGTGTGACATGAAGCTAAGGTCGCGTTTGTTGGAAAATGTACACCTATCTCGTGATTTTTAGCTATTTTAGGAGTTAAAGTATTAGGAAAAGTGCTTGTGTAAATATTTTTGGTTTGGTTCAGATAATCAGTTGTCTAGATAGCCAAAGTAAGTTCCAGGTGTTTACACTATTTTCTGGCTGCCATATTGGAAGACGAAGGAGGTCCTCCAACATGGTGGCTCCATACTAGGCTCTATAATTTTGCACGGAACATTTTGACGAATATCTTAGCGTTGGGACAACGCACACACCTTAAACTTGGAGAACTGTCTTCTTTATTTATTGTGCATAATATCACAATTTCTTGACTTTATCTACTGAATGGTTTTTGATTTTATTTTTTATTGCATGACAATGAACATGCTCTATTGTGTGACCTGTCTTCATGCTTCATTTTGTTTAGAGGCGACCTCTACTCCAAAGCAAATAGAAGAGCGAGTAAGGAGACGCGGTATGTAGCTCGTGACATGTTATTACCAGTTGTTGTTCACGGTTGGTTTTTGGTTAAAGTTTTCTGTCAGTCTGTCTGTCTGTCATATTTCCTGGTATTCATCATGATTATATAACATGAACATTTTGTTTCATTTCATCAAATGTAATATTTGTATACTTTTTTGATTGTAAATTAAATATTTTGTCTTATTTTTCTTGTAGAAAACAAACTGATGACAAGTGAGTAGACTTCACCTTACCACACCCAGTATCTCTTAGTTATTTATTGATCAGATCAGTGGAAACCATTAGATTCTGCAAATAGGCTGAAATGTATTTGGGGAACAAGGCAAGTTGAAGGCAAATTCTGGTCTGTGAGATGGGATTGGGCCTAGCCTGTGTGGCAGGTGCAATTTGTGAGGGAGTGGTTTGTGCTGGCCAGAGCCAACATTTTGTTCTCACACAGGAATTTGTGAGCAGCCAGTGAAATTCCTGCCTGCCTCATTTCTTTTTTTTTTTCCTCACGCCCTGATTAACTGTCCCTGGGTCTCTGAGGATGGCTTGCCGCGTACTTTTATTACCATTTGATGATCCAAAATAAGGCAATTCAGGGCTCGACGTTGCGAGCTGTGGGGTCGCCAATGCAACTGGATTTGGTCCGCTGGAGACTAACTTTTCATGTGTGGTCGCCAGTCTGGCCACCGCGATTTCAAGTTATTATAAAATTTTATTTATATATATATTTTTTTTCATTTCCTAAGATCCATAATGAAATGAATGAATGTTAATTGTAAACCAAGAGGAATGCACAGACAATGCAATTTCTTATTACTTTCAGGTACAAAGCCATTTAAACTGCCTTTACTATAATTACTATCGTGAAATCAGTTAACTACATGTTTGGTTGACAGCATTCCGGAAGTGACATTTGTTCCTAAAAGGAGATTTTTGCCAAAAGAAAAATTCTCTACCATTTGATTGTAAACTATGGTGTATCCATTTCAAAAGAAATAACATTCGTTTTCACATTACAATTTAGTAGCGGTATGTTGTAGGAAAAGAATAGGGAGTTAATTTAATTTACAAAAGCTCGCATTATTATTCCACAGAAACTGAATGCATGTAGTGGCTGTATATTTGTTGCAGCTTTCTCATGAATAAAATTATAGTTTTCTTTTTCATTGGCAATATTTTGTAGTTCCTAAAGAACATGTGAAAGAAATAAAATACATTGATGGTAGATCGTAAAAGGCGGAAACGCAAACCTCAGACACATGCATTAGCATTTTGTGTTTTTTTTTTTGTACTGTATTTTCCCGTGTATAAGTCGACCTTTCAAGACCTAAAAATCAGTCCAGAAATTCGCCCTCGACTTATACATGGGTCAAAACTTGAGATCCAAGTGCCAGTCAAATAATTAGCATAATAATTGTCTTTCAATGTTAACAAACGTGATAAACGGCAGCACAGTTTACAAAGTATGTTCACTTAGCAATCTGTTTCTCTATATCAGAGCTTCAAGTCAAAATGCATCAACATTTATCCGTTAAATTTTAACCTGAATCTTGTAGACGCTCACTGGCTCAATTTGTCATAAAGAACCAATATTTTTCCTGTAAATAAAGCTGTAGTAAAGCCGCTCGGAGAAAACATCTTCTGTGCTTCAAACTTCTCTGCCTAGTAACCTGTCAGGATACGAGTGCGAGGACTTCTGTACCAATACTTGACCGATTTCGAGGCTTGACTACCACGTTCCCAACACCTGCTTTGCACTTTGTTTATGGAGTCATTCTGAAAGGTGTGAGCTTCTTTGGTGTTTTGCCTGTCTTATAAAGCCACTTTTAATCTCTTCGCACTTAAAAAGGTTTGTTTGAAATCCTTATGTTTGATTGTTTGATGTTGTGTTTGATTTTGTGATTTTCTTCCAATCTTGCAATGTAACTTGAGCTTTAACAAAAATAGCCTGCTTTTGACTTTCAACATTTGTATTTATTCCCGCTTGTGATTGAATTCAATTGCCGTATTTATCACGTCGACACGCTATGAAATTTTCCACCAGGCGCGACTCAAAGACTTGAAATAAACTGCATAAATGGCCAAAAAAAAGAAAGATGATCAAACCAATTTGAATAAGGAAGGTGTATTTCAGCATTGAAATTATTTTTTTGTTTGCTACGACTTACATTCAAATGTAACATTTTGTTTGGTTTGGTCTGTACAGAAAATACAAGGAAGAGACTAAAGGCTTCCAAAATGATTGAATGTTTTTGGCCCCCAAAAAATTTGTGCTGGCGACCAAATCTAAAATCTTTAGAGCCATATGGCCCCAAGGTTTTTTTTCTAAAGTTGAGCCCTGCAATCCGAGAGCGAGCTACAGGTAACATATATCTTGAGGACAAAACTTTCCGAAAGGATATTATCGCTAAGGTCATGCAGTAGAAAACATTTTTATTGCTCTTGAGCCCTTTCAAAAATGGATGTAAAAATGGAGTGTCATCCAACATCAGCCACAGACTACTGAAAACAATTTACAAGATGCTTCCTTATAAAAGAGAGGTAAATTGCTTATTAAAGATGAGCTCATTGACGCAAACCTTTTGAAGGCTAATGCACGGTAACCACAAAACCACATGTGGAGTCTGCGTAGGCCTGCCAGTGACTGATACAACTTTACGAAGAATAGTTTTTAATTTCAAGCCATTCAGGAAAGGCTTTTCTGATACCATTCTCTGCTGAACAAAAGATAAACAACGGCAGATCTTCTACAACACATTTGCCATATTGTTGCTTCCAAAGCCGTACAGATTTGGAATTAATACTGAATCAACTCCCCATGGCTCTCTCCTGTTCTTACTTTGAATAATTTCCCTGCCTTCTGTCTGGATATGTAGTGAATCCAAAGCTTTCTCTATGCGAGGCAGCATGGCCGAGTGGTCAGTGCATCGGGCTCACAAATCAGAGGTCCTGGGTTCAAGTTCCATTTTGACCACTAACTGAATTTGTTTCACGGTAGGTCTGAGTCCAAATTCAAATCCTGAGCCATGCTTTTAAATAGCCAACTTGTTTGCCTCCGGCTAGTTGTGATAACTTCTCAACAATTCTACTGTATGTTCAATCTGATTTTTTTTTTCATTTGTTTATAATTTGCTTGGTCCCATTAGCATTTGTACTATAAACACTGCCAAGGGTAATTAAGGGTTATCTTTTTTCCTGTGCATTCTCCATTCTGCAATTCTGCACATAAACACTCGGGAATCTTGTGACACTTCTGGTTACACCGCAGTTTAATGAACACAAATGTTATGTTCTCTTGGGATGGATTAGAGGTATCAATTAACATTTGATTCATGTTTTGCTACTCTCAGCCAATCTGAAATTCCCATCCACTGGCCAATGTACAGTTAAAAAAAACATGAATTAGGGCTGGCAGGAATTCAACTCATCTCCTCACTATTTCCCTTTGCCACTCTTGGCATGCTCGGCTTTGCCACTAAAACAAAAGGACCCATGCATGAATAATCTATCAGCTATGCAGTCTAGATTGAGCCAAGAGTTTTTGTCATAAAGTTGGTAGGTTACCAATCCTGGTATGACAACTTTTGGAGTGCCCCTAAGTGCTCACAGCATCTGTTGATTGGACTCTAAAGATCAGAAACAAAGACTTCCCATACAGCTCTTGTTCTCCTTGCTGACTTGTTGAGTCTTTGGTAACCTAAAGCTAGTCAAACAGAAAACCAACTTGTAAACATATGGCCTGTACAGTAGTTTGATGGCTAGTATAAAGCTGCAAAGCCATCTAACAGATGGTAAATATGAGCTAGAAGATTTACTTGATTTCCAAACTTAGGATCATGCCCTGGGTTACAAGGTACATACAGGCAGATACATATATATATACATGTATATAGGACTTTATTTAAGGGTTAAAACTGAGATACAATACAAAAACACCCTGATACATGATACACTAAAACCGAGTTTAACACAGCACCAATACGGACATGATTTCCTTTGTTTTATCTTGTTATTAATGAGTTTGAGTAACATCTACATCTATGTTTATAATTATTAATAGTTTATTTAATGTAACACTATTTTCCCTCTAGCTTGTGAACACTACGATGCATTCATTTGTTTTGGCCAGAATGATAGACAATTTGTTGACTCGCTGACTAAAAAGATGGAGGGTCGACCTTACAAGTTACATCTTTGTTTGAGTGAACGGGACTTTCTGCCTGGTGGATCCATTTATGACATAACTGCTGAGGCCATTGAAAGGTGTTCAAAGTTTGTGGTTATCTTGTCAAAACATTTCGACAACAGTGATGGTGCACGCTATGAATCACAGATTGCCATGAGTCTTGCACCAGGTTTGTTGGTTAATGCACATTACATAATGAGTCAAATTATTCTTGCCTTTTGATTGGTTTGTACTAATGATCAATTGGAGGACAGACATATAGATGACGTCATGAACACTTTCTTTTTGTTTCTTTGTCATATAAAACAGATAGATTCCATGTTGCCGGGCATCTTTTCATTAATAGATGACAGATGACATAACAATGTGGTAAGAATAACAGCGACACGCTAGCTTAACGCTAGCTTGTGTGTCACTGATGTTCTTACCACATTTTGACATCATCTGTGATCTACCATTTAACAGACACACAGCAACATGGAATCTATTTGTTAAATGATGATAATTTGGTGTAGGTTTGTAAGAGTAACAGTCATTCTGTTGAAATTCTGTGATGGTTTTTATTTATGTAACTATGCAATGTATAGTTAACTGGTTCCATTAGCATTTGTGCTATAAACACTGCCAAGGGTAATAATTATTAAGGGTTATCTTTTTCCTGTGCACTCTCCATTCTGCAATTCTGCACATAAACACTCGGGAATCTTGTGTAATCAGCTTGATTACTTCATGCAGAACATATCTGTAGATAAACACTATTCCTGGAGTTTAGAAACTCGAATATTCTAGGGAAAAACATGTGAAAGTCTGTTCAAGAAATTTTGAACCAAAACGGTGACAAGTTGACTGGTCTTTTTAGCATACATGCATGTTGGAATACTGATACCATGAGGAAAAGTGGCCACTCTAAGGAAAACCTTTTATTTTCTGATCCAAGACACAATCAATAAAATCACTGAAAGAATATTTCCTGGGCGTTTGGTAAATTTGCTCAATCAGGACAATGCACCTTTTCCCTGACAGAACATTGTCATTTTTACTTTGTTAAGTCTGACATTTTGCCTTGCAATGCAAGGAATGAATTGTTACAATGCATGTGACCACAGATCAGGCAATAAAATTTTGTGCCAATGAACAATCCATTTAGTTCTTGTTTGCATTATGTTGTTTTTGTATTGGATTACAGTGACATGTGCTTTTACATGCATGTTTGTGGCAATGAATAAGGGACTGGTGAAAATGTAGTGGATAGAAAACACCTGACCCACCCCTTCCATTTGGCACAAGACTGGGTGACTTACCCCTAAATGAAGGTTTAAAATTGCATGACCCACCCCTATTAAACATGTCATTTTTGGTTCCTTAATCCAACAGAATCACATTTTGTGTATGAAATTCTGGTGTAATTTATGTTTTAGATATATTTCTTAACAATAATGCATTAGCATCTAAAAATACACTCTACAAAAAACTTGACTGTAAACCTTTTACTCTCGGCCGCAAGCCTAGCTTCGCATGGAACAGTGATAATTTTGGCTCGATGTGTACAAAATTTAAATGTGTTGCCAACTGTTCCAGTAGAACAAGTAAATAAAAGTAAAAACAATTATTTTTTTAAATTTGTGCCAATTTTTGTTATAAAATAGGATGACCCACCCCATGGGTAGCTAAACATTTAACGACCCACCCCTTACCAAGGGCTCAAAAACTAGTGACCCACCCCCCTATACTTTCTGACTAGTCCCTAATGCCACTTGGACTTTGGGTGTTTTGACTCCATGTTGATTGTACTTCCTATGTGGGTCATTAGAGTTACTTATTGTATGGCAGTGATTATGAATGTCACATTTTCTTTTACAGGGGCCAAAGAGAAACGACTTATACCAGTTCTCATTGATGAGGATTATAGAGGGAAGATTCCACGCTCTATTTCTCATATCACCTACCTTGATCGCCTTCGACAAGAAGAGAATGACTTTTGGAAAAAACTAGCAACATCACTTGGCTGGAAGGAACACAAAAACGGCTGTAAAAAGAAGCATACCAGCTAGGTTATTGGCCTTATATGTCCTTTTAAAGTACAAAGCATCTTAAATTTTCTTAACATGGAAAATCCAAAAAAAAAATCAGCAACCCATGAAAGTGTCATTTGTACAGCATTTATCTGAGTGGCACTGTGGCACTTTGTGGGAGGTGTGGTGGCCTCAAGGTTAGTTTGCTGGACTTCAGATCAAGCAGTCTGGGTTTGAGCCCTGGCCAGGGACATTGTGTTGTGTTCTTGAGCCACACACTTTATTCTTACAGTGTCTCTCTCCACCCGTGTATATTAATGGGTACTGGCAAATTTAATGCTGGGGGTAACCCTGCAATGGACTAGCATCCCATCCAGGAGGTAGAAACTCTCCTAGTCACTTCATGATACAGAAATAGGAAGTAAATGCCGTCCTGATGGGCCACTTGCGTCGTATGCAAACCACAGTGGAATCCCACCTTACGGTCACCTGATTAATATGGCCACCTAGTTGTTACGGCCAATTAATTTTGTCTGGGGGAAATGCCCATACATTTTCTTATAAGAAAACCCTGTTAATGCAGACACCCTGTTTATGCGGACTTTCCATTAGTATGGTCAAAGGCCCTATTCTGAAAACCTAACCTGTATAATCCTTTATAATTCTACCCCATTAATATGGCCACTCAAAGCAAATACATATTCACAATATCTGTTGACCAAACAAAACAAATATTGAGAAACAATACTGAGAAATTCTCTTTTTTATTCAATGTGCCTGTAACATATCATGTCAATGACATCTTCCATGGTTAATATTGTATGTAGTGATTGAAGTTTCATTGTTTCAAAATGATATCTGCACTCTGGATGCTTATTCAGTTGGTTAGAAGTGCGAATAGATAAATATGTGTATCTGTCAAGACATCACTTAAAATAGACCAGTCATGAAATTTGACTCTACCCTGTTAATATGGCTACCCCATTAACACTGCCAAAATTTCATGGTCCATTGCTGACTGTATCAATGGGGTTCCACTGTACCATTTTTTTCTGTGGAACTTTATGGCTGTTTTCTTTGGGGATTTTGCACACGGTGTTTAATGATCTTTGTCGTGATTCATTGAGCATATTTTGTGATGAGCATGTAGACGGTTACGGTCCAATCTAGGGAACATTTATAATTTACTGTGGTACTGGGGTAGAAAAACCCTCAAGAGTTAGTAATCACACCGTTTCATGATAAAATGAATGAGAACGGTTAAGATTGGTAAGGTTACAATGACATGTGAAAGACAAACTGGAGACATGTAGGATAAAACGTGCTATTCACAATGTGGCTCCTTCAAATGATTACAAGGCAAGAGTTTTGTTTCTCATCAGAACACAACTTAACTACCCTGTGAGCAGAGGTCCCTTCAATCTCCCTAGAAAAGTCAGGAAGAGAAAGCTCTTCTTGACTTTTCTAGGAAGATCGAAGGGATCTCTGCTGGCAGGGTAAACACAACTAAGAATAACATTCTTTATGATACACATAGTTTTTTTTTTATTTTAAACTATTTACAAATACCAACACACCAAAATACAACTCAGACTATATAGTTGTGATACAAACTACTAATGCCAATGACAATTCAATCACTAGTGTTACTTACTAACTCTACTGTTATACTTACACTACTTGGAATGAGAATACTAAAGTAACATACAGGGACTTGAAGTGTTACAATTCAATTGATCATATTGCTATTTATGCCTACGTGCACTATTATCAATAAAAGGGAGGCTTAATTCTGAACTTGAGAACCTAAGAATTTCTCATTTTTGTTGGTGAATTTTTGAGCGTGTCTTTTCTCTTAGTAATGAAATATTCAGAACTTTGTAGTGTTAATAGCATTCTATCATTGCATTATCAATTGCATTTTGCAATTAGAGTTTTACCTCCAATGGTGAATTGATATAACATTAACTGGACTTAAAATAATACTTAGACTAAAAAGACAGACACTCTCCATCTAGTACAAGTGATGTCAGTTTTTAAATGAACAGACTGTATGTGCAGTAAAGCTTAATGCAGACACCTTGGAAAGGGGGTGCCAATGTATTTACAGTAATACACCCGTCACCCAGCAGTAGAGACATAGCCACGGAACCATGGTGGAAGTTTTGAATAATCTTTGATTTTTTATCGTTTCATTCTTTTTTCCATTTTCTTCTTTGTTTCATTTTTGATGGAAAAGATGTATCAAACACTCAGGACAGTGTTGCATAACATTTCTCCTCAAATTTTGTCCAAAGTACTTTGCTGGACATTGTATCTTCAACTTTCTTTCTTCTCTTGTGTTTGATATGTTTCATAAAAACTGCATTAATCCTAGTTCTTCTGCAGGTTATTGTACAATATGTGAAAAAGATTTGTATATACGTGTATGTTGTTTTACAAGATTCATATTTTTATTTCAATCTTTTCATCAAATTGTATTTACGGTGATGATGTTTATAGTTTTGCTTCTCTTGGTTTTAAATTGTTTTATTGGATGGAACTGTGTATTGCAGGCTTCTTTTAGCACCAGGACTGGGTTGTTCAAAGCACGATTGTGCTAATCCAGGGTTATTGTGAATTTTGATTTCAGTTCTGTAACCTTCTTATGAAGTTTTTTGTGAAATATATTTCAGTCTCTTAGTTTTGACTTAGATTGTTCTCAAACTCCCCAAATAATTACCGGGAAAACGGGTTTTTACAGGATTAATTAAAACGTCAACCATTTGTTATTCCTGGGCCACTTTTAATCGTCTTTCAAACAGCCCAGTCATGATGACTAGTGAATATTTTACCTTTTCAAAACGTGATTAACTAAGGAGATTACTGAGCTACATGCAAGCACTCTGATTTTAGAATGGCAGGAATGTTCATTGTAATTCAAAAACAAATATTTTTGAGATAGTGGCAGAATTTGTTTATTTTGTATTTTTTCATTACTTAAAAAAGGTAACCCTGGTGAAAACTACCTTTAAGATGGCTATGCCAGACACTGCTCACTTGTATAGTACTTGCCTTATAGAAACAGAACATCCTATTAAAAGATTAAGAAAAACGTGGATTGTTACTTCCCAGGTGCTACAATGAGCATTCCAGTCAGGTTGAGTTAGGTCAGGTGCTACCTTTACTTCGACCTTTTCAATTAAAGGGTGTGTGTATGTATGTTCGTGCAAAACGGAAGATATTTACTTAGCTAGGTCTTGTTCGGTTTGATCTAACATAGGCTATATTGTTGTCCCCACAAGTAACAATTGTGTGAATTTGGTTAGATTTTATATCATGTCAAATTTCTACGAGGAATGCTCTGAGGCAACATAAACTGGGTTAATTTGAATTTAAAAGGGTTTTTTTTTTACTAGTTATTAAAATTAAGTAGTCTAGGTCTTCTTTTTTCACGTCCCATATGTTTTGGTGTATCATACTTGGTGCAATCCGTAGTATTTTCCTAGAATTTGAAGATTTTCCTAGCCAAGTTGTATGATATTAAAATCGTTTGCCGATGTTATTACTCTCTCAATGTTACAAGTGCGCAACACAAGTTTAAAACAAGCCATATATATAATTGTTATAAGTATTAATATTGTAGACAATATTTTTAGCGATTTATACGTGTAACAAACTTTAAATTAGATTGTTAGAATTTTGGTAAAATATCTCCCAATCAGTAGAGAAGCGCAGATATCAGACGTAGCTGTATTTACTTCTTAACGATGTATATATCCCTTATCATGGCCTGCTAGGAATGTACAGGAAAGCTGTAATATTTGCGCTTTTGAATAAACGAATTTCATTTTTTTATCTTTTGGGTTGTTAATTCAATAATTGACTACGTTCCAAGTCGAGTTGACAGCGGGAGTTCCTTCCAGTTGCAAGCAGTTAACTTTGGGAATAGCGATTGTTTTTGACATTTGCTCCGAAAAGGGGAGAATATTTGTGGTTTGATGCCTTTAGAAACTGATGTGCGAGTTTAAATGACAACTATCTATGTCCATGTTTTTGCAGTTAAATCAAGGACCTTTCTGAAAGTACTAACGAGATCTCATTCTGTTTGAGGCTTGACCGTTGGGGATCTGGGTTCCAGATAAAGAACCAGCAACGATTGTGTTGTCACGCAATCTTCTCCTTAAGGAGGAGTGCTGCATGCGTGATGATCAAATAATGGGAAATCACAGTGAGTTAAAACTTGGTTCTAAAGCAGGGGAGCGGTGTGGGAAACTGCTAGAGAGAACATTTTTAGACATGCCTTATCGAGGAGTGCGGCGTGGGAAAGCAACAGAGCTCACAGGCGTAATGATTCTCTCCTCGCACCAATCTCTTCTCTTTCGCATGGAAGAGGCTAGACGGGAGCTGGGTAGTTTGCATATTTACTCGTCGTGTTTAACCTCGACTTTTATAGTTAACTGAGCACGCTTTCGTTTTTCCCAAAGCGCTTCACGCTAACTTCTGAGTTGTACATTGGATGTTACTTGTAAATGACGCAGTTGAGGAAACGCAGTGATATTTAGATGGTCACATCCCCGCCCTCTGCCGCCTTTTCCTCGTACCAAGGCCCCTCCATAGCCCCTTCTTGTCGATGTACATGTTCTTTTAAAGGACCACGTGGCCCGCTTTTGTCTATTTTAATATACCCGTTTAGTGTCACTGGTATTACAGGATTTACACTCCCCACACCCCTTTTTTCGATCTACGCGTGATAACATGGTCGTTTAATATACATGTTAATTCTTCATGTCAAGATGTGCTCTATCATCAGATCATTTAACTTGCTTACATTTCACGTGAACTATCTAGTCTATCTACGGATTTTTTACATCAAAGGAAGCAAGTTCTCGGCACAGTCAGTTCTCAGAGAGTTACACTACATTTTCTATTATCAACCTCGTTCCCAGGGTCCTCTCTCTTCCTTCCTCTACTTTCTCGAGGAAGGAAGAGAGAGGACCCTGGGAACGAGGTTGTTCTATTATATAACGAGGGGTCTTATATGTCATATTACCAATATTATATTACCCCGTCCGATCTTTTGCCGCTGAACCAAACGTTTGATTGTTCAACATTCCTCTGAGCTCGAGATTGGTGCGATCTACAGTATAGTGCGGTCGACATAAGATTTGTGCAACTTTTGAGCTAAGATTTCAGGAGCAATAACCGTCTGAAAAAGACCCGATGTACCCAAAACGCTGGATAAACAGGTGATACTAACTACTCTAGTGATAACTTACATTTTTCCATGGCGCCCGGATTTCCAAACCACCCACGTTATATTATTTCGCATTATTCGGTATATAATTCATGGTAGACTACCATATAGTCTCCCAGCCATATTAGTCATCCAGATATCCCACAATAATGCTAACCAATGAAAGCCTGCAAACCCTTGTATACCCCTGTACACCCTTGTAAACCCTTGTAAACTCCTCTATACCCATACAAACCCTTGCAAACCTCTGTATACCATTCTATACCCCGGTACACCCTTGTAAACCCTTTTGTAAACCCTTATATACCCCTGTACACCCTTGTAAATCCCTGTATACCATTCTATACCCTGGTACACCCTTGTAAACCCCTGTATACCCTTGCATACCCTTGCATACCCTTGCATACCCTTGCATACCCTTGTATACTCCTGCAAACCCCTGTATACCCCTATACAATCATGTAAACTCCTGTATACCCTTATATACCCTTGTATACTCTTGTAAACCCTTGTCAACCCCTGTATACCCTTGTCAACCCCTGTATACCCTTGTAAACCCCTGTATACCCTTGTATACCTTGGTAAACCCTTGTATCTGTTTTATACCCTTGTAAACCTCTCTATACTCCTGTAAACCCTTGTAAACTATTGTAAACCCCTGTACACCCTTGTATACCTCTGTAAACTCTTGTATACCTCTGTAAACCTTTGTATATCCCTGTAAACCCTTGTATACCGCTGTAAACCCTTGTATACCCTTGAAAACCCTTGTAAGCCCTTGTATTCTCCAGTAAACCCCTGTATGCCCTTTTATAGCTATGTAAACCCCTGTAAACCCTTGTATACCCCTCTGTTCGCCTAAAAAATGCAAAAAACATTCCGTATGAAACCCAACTAATTTATTTAAGGCAGCGTGGCTGAGTGGTTAGGGCGCCTGACTTGAAATCCAGACAAGGGTATACAAGGGTTAACAGGGGTTTACAAGGGTATACAAGGGTTTCCAGGGGTATACAAGGAATTACAAAGGTATACAAGGGTTTCTAGGGGTATACAAGGGATTACAAGGGATTACAAGGGCTTACAAGGGCTTACAAGGGCTTACAAGGGTATACAAGGGTATACAAGGGTTTACAAGGGTATACAGGGGTTTACAGCGGTATACAAGGGTTTACAGGGGTATACAAGGGATTGCAAGGGTATGCAAGGGTTTACAAAGCTATATAAGGGTTTACAAAGGTATACAAGGGATTACAAGAGATTACAAGGGT